TTTTTTTTTTTTTTTAAACCTTTGATTGTTAATATATATATATATATATTACAAAAACAAGGTTGGTTTTGTGGTTTGTGATTAAGGCTTCCTTCTTTGAGGGTCAAGGTTCGAGTCCCTTCAAGTGCACAAATTTTTTCATTTTTTTAAGGTGAATAAAGGGTGCCGGAGGTGGTGGCACGATTGGCTAGTGAGGGAGCCAGATGGTAGTAGCGGCGAGAGGCGGTGGCCGGTGATGGGCCGCGTCGGTGGTGGCTAGCTAGAGGTGGATTGTTGGACATGTGGCATAAGTTGATTGACTTCAAATAAATTTGTTAAAATATAAAGGGAGTGACATTGTGTGTAATTTTGAAAATTTTTAATTATATTATTGTAAGATTACATCCTACTTATTTGTCATTGACTTATTCAGATTAAATAAAATTGGTTTATTATCTATCTCAATATTAAATTATATAATGGTTATATACTAACCCTCCTTATTTAATATAATTATTAGTTGTCCTCACAACCAGGTGGCTTTTTGTTTAGACTTTGACAATGTCATGTTTGTGCTTCAGACGTTAAGTCCATGATGTGCCTTAAGTAGGCTCTTTCGGTGCATTTGGAATGGACCTGTTTGGGTTTAGCGTTTATGAATGGTACCATTTGGAATGGAAATTTTTTTTTTTAGTACAATCGATAGTCTAAACTACACGGGAGAAGGTTTCTCACACACACACAGCATAACTAAGATGCCATGGGGATTCAAACCTAAGACCTCTATTCTACAAGTTAAGGCCCCTTTTACACTAGACTAAACCCTGTTGACGGAATGGACATTTTCTAATTAGAGATTAAGTGGTTAAGATTATGGGGTCATTCATTTTGAGTTTGCACTATGAATGCAGTCCACCTCTCTTTTGATGTAGAATTGGGTCCAGCGACTCAACAGGCCACCCAAGTATGCAAAGCCTTAGCCACTGTTTTTGAAACATTTACACATATTGCCATTGTACAATCAATCCCCAAAATTTTATTAATTACTGCAATCAATAAATTATTATCACATTTCTACAATTAATCTCAATTTATCAAACGTTTTCAACTAGTGAATACCTTATGGTGAGGTACATATGTCTTTGGGTGGTTGGTTTACCTGCTTTGCAGGTTTGTGTATACCTCCTTCATAGGTAATTTCATATCATATATCTTCTCCATAGGTAATTGTTGAGGCCCAAAATGTCACGAGAAGCCCAAAGATATTTAAAGCCCAATATAACATATAATGTTGGTCATGTGTTATTCCAAGCTGTATTTTGGGAATTAATTCACGAAATAAATATAGAAATATTGTACATCCCATGCCAAACCAATAATACATATTTCATATGCCAATAACCTACCAACATCACATGAACCCAAGTCATGTGATTTACGGGGCTTACACGAGGGGTTGTGGTATGGAAGGTTATGGAGGTCCGCAAGGCCCACGGAAGCTCTTGGATAATGGAGACTTTGGGCTAGCTACTTATGAGCACCAAAGTCCAAGCCCATTACTTGGAGTTCTCCAATGTGGGTGAGCAAATGAGATACCCTTCAAGCACTCCTTATTACCCTCTGGAAACAAGCCAATTCCGACACTTCTTTTACCCATAGGAAATAGTTATTTTCTATGCCTAGCTTTGCCTACTGGAAATAAGAATGTCACAATGCTCCCTTTTACCCATTGGAATTAGGTTGGTTCCAACATTTCCTTTTACCTATTGGAAACCAAAGAGAGGCTTGACCTTCTATAAATTGGGAGGCATTGCCCAAGCAAAGGAGAAGATCTCTTGGTGGCTGCAAGCCTCTCAACAACCATGAGAACCGACTTCTAAGTCTCTCAGGAACATCCCTTCAGTTGCTGCAAGCATTCCAGCAGCCATCTCATCCATTCCTCAGCCATCACAACCTTCATATTTCCTATAAAGCCTCACCAAGTATAACTCCAAGATTTTCCTTCCTCCTCATACTCTTCCAAGTTATAAACACCATAGCCTTCAAGCCTCAAACTTTTCCTCCCATCCTCCTTCTCTTGAAATTTTAAATATCCATAGCCATAGCCACAAAAAACAAATTCTCAACACCCGAACTTAAGCATATCCAGCACCAAGCCAAGCACATGCATTCTCATTTGCTAAACTTGTGGATCTTTAGCTCCCATACTCCAAGCTCTCATGTCAAGCTCACACAATACAGGTTCAACATCAGCAAGTCATCTTCAACCATCCAGAGCAAGACCAAGCAATCGTCAAGCTACTGGAAAATCGACTCAAGCCACTCATCCCTTCATCCCCATCTCTCTCTGTCTCTCTCTGTCTCTCTCTCAAAAAGCTCCATCCGAGATCTGAAACACCCATCCTCTCAAGCTAAGTTGAAACCATAGTCACCACCTTCTTGGAAAGAAAACGCAAACATTGCAAGCTCATCGTCTAGCTGCCGAAAGCACCCAAAATCTCAAGCCTTAATCCTTTCTTTATGCTCATTTTCTCTTAGAAGACCATGCTAAACCCTAAACATCACCCAAGCATTTCTGTAAATCGCCATCCTAAGAGTCAAGCATCATAATTAACTTTCTCTGTTTCAAGAAACCCATTCAAGCTGGTGGGGGCAATTCCAGAGTTGCCGGAAGATATAGTCTAGCTACAATTCCAAGCTTTTACCTTTCCAACTCTCTCTCTCTCTCTTGCTAAACTTATGGGCTTTTAGCTCCCACGCCACAAGTCTCGCATGCCAAGCCTAGTAATATCTTGATTCACCAAAGCAAACTCTCATGCCAAGTCTGTACAACATCAATGCACCATCTCCAACTCTTTCCGAAGCTGCCTGAAACGTCAACACAAAACACGCAGCCGCTGGAAGAGGAATAGAGTACTCCCCTGGGACTTGCTTCTCCCTCGGGATGCTTTGGGGCTAGTTCTCGCTATCTCAGAAAAATGGGCAACGAAGGCTTGATTCACCACTTTGTGGCAGTCCAAGAATCAACAAGCCTTTCGACGGAAAAAGACCCCAACAGTAATTAGCATTCATATGTATACCTCTTCCATAGATAAATAGCATTCATATGTATACCTCCTCCATAGGTAATTTACCTATCCATACCTAATTAACATTCATGTATATTCCTAGTCCATAGATAATTATACCTCCTCCATAGGATTGTAAGAAGAAAAAGAAGGAAGAAGAAAGAAGAAGATGAAGAAGATGAAGAAGATGAAGAAGATGAAGAAGAAAGATTATAGGAATTTATTTTTATTTTTATTTTTTGTACCAGCACAAGTTTATGGGATTTTCAAAGAATGAATAAACAAGAATAAAAACAAATATTTTATAAATTCAAATCATAATTACCTAAAAGGCCAAATATAGTATTTATTGGCCTAAAATTAATTTCTTACCCGTTTATGAATTGCAATCAAAATCAATAGTTGTGGATTGCACCACGATTAGATAAACATTTCAACAAAGTTTACTTCCCTACAGAGACACTAAGAATCCCAATTCTCAGTTGATATAGAAACACCACTCACTCACACAACTTGAGCAAGAAACGAGCTCTCAGACTTATTCACTACTTATTTCGAATTCCAATTTTCTGACTCAAAATCTATTTATAATCCAAACTGAAATTGACCCATTTGAAATATCAAAAGCGGCTATTTAGTGAGCACAGCAACAGAACCCAGAAACCAAAAGGCAAGCCAATAGTTGAAGAAACAAAAAATCAATATCCAGTACCTTGATTGTGATATTTTACTGTGGAAGGGAAGAAAGCCAAAATGAAGCTTTCTCTGAATCTGAAAATCTAGAATGAATCTAGAAATACCATACATGGCTGAGCTCAACTGAGGCTGAGAGAATATTAGATCAGGAGCTGAAACCCAAGAGAGAATATTGTATGTTGTGGAAGACGTGATTTTCGCGATTTACTATTTTTGCCGTTTGTTCTTGGCATCTATGGATTTTTGTCATTACTTACCTAATTTATATCTTAGGGGCAAATTTGGAACCACAACATAAATTAAAAAATTAAAAATATAAAACATAAAATATAAATGTCAGAAATTAAAAAAAAGTAACTAATTCTATGTGGCACAAAAGTCAGAGGACTTGGATTACTAACAATAAGTGTGTGGATTGCACTCAAAT